TCAATGAAAGAAAAAGCAAATCAGTATTTGAAAGGACAAATTACTATTTCTCCTGATGAATAAGGTGTGCTGGGGAAAAGCAAAGAAAAAAAGGAAATTTATAACTTGATAGTTTTATCGTTTTCAGACAGTAACTTTCATTTTATTTTTTATATTATTTCTATAGTTCTTATTAATAAAAATTTCCAATAGGTAATACAATTTAAATAACTCAAAACTAAAATGTATGAAAGTATGGGGAAAACATCTTCCTTTTACCTCTATTCCTCAGCCACACATTCCTTGATCTACAGTTACCAATATTACCAATCTCTTGGGTAATTGCCCCCAAATATTTTATGAATATACAAGCCAACACAAATATATACATTTTCCCTCCACGTTTTTACACAAATAATAACATATTATAACCATTTGCTGAATCTCGATAGGTCTTAGAGTTTTTCTATAATCCATACACAAAAAGCTCTCTCAATTTTTCTAACATATACATAGTATTCTATCGTGTCATGGTATCATTATTTATTTAACCAGCCCATTCCCCCCCCCCATAGATATATAGGTTTTTTTCCCTTTTCTTTTGCTCTTGCAGTCATTTCACATGCCTATTAGTACATCTGTAGGATCGATTCCTAAAAGTGCAATTGCCATGTCAAAAAGTATGTGTATAGGCATACATTGGTGATATTGTAGGATCAGTTCCAGACTTCTGCAATAAAGTGAGCATCACACTAAAGTGTGTCACTTGAATTTTATGTTTTCCCAGTGCATATAAAACTTATGCTTACACTATACTGTAGTCTATTAAGTGTTAATAGCATTATGAAAAAATTTGAAATATTTTGAGAATTACCAAAATGTGACACAGAGACACAAAGTGAGCACAGCTGTTGGAAAAATGGCACTGAAAGACTTGCTTGACAGAGAGTTGCTACAAACCTTCCATTTGTAAAAACTGCAATGTCTGTAATGTGCAATAAAGCAAAGCACAATAAAACAAGGTATGGCTGTATTTATAATTTTAATCAGTATTACTAATGGTCCTCCATAGAAGTCATACCAATTTATACTACCATCAGCAACTGATTGAGAGTAGCTATTTCTCCAAAACCTCACCAACAGGTTGTTGTTATTTGTTAGGCGCCATTGCGTTGGCTCCCACCCATGACAACCCTATGTGTAACAACAACAAAAAAAACATTGCCTGGTTGTGCACCATCCTCACAATCCTTGCTATATTTGAACCCATCGCTGCAGCTACCATGTCAATCCATCTCATTGAGGGTCTTCTCCTTTTTTGCTGACCCTCCACTTTACCAAACATGATATCCTTTCTCCAGGGAATGGTCCCTTCTGACAATATGACCAAAGTAGATGAGACAAAGTCTGGCCATTCTCACTTCCAGGGAGCATTCTGGCTGTACTTCCAGGACAGATTTATTACTTCTGGCAGTCCATGGTATTTTCAGTATTCTTCACCAACACCACAATTCAAAAGCATTCAAAAGCATAAATTGTTCCTCAGCATTGTTCAGCTTTCACATGCATATGAGGCAACTGAAAATACCAGGGCTTAGGTTAGGTGCACCTTAGTCTTCAAAGTGACATCTGACCTTCAACACTTTAAAGAGGTCTTTTGCAGCACATTTTCCCAGTAAAATATGCCCTCTGATTTCTTGACTTCTGCTTCCATGGGTGTTGACTGTGGATCCAAGTAAAATGAAATCTTTGACAACTTCAATCTTTTCTTCATTTATCATGATGTTGCTTATTGGTCCAGTTGTGAGATTTTCCATTTTCTTTATGTTGAGGTGTAATCCATACTGCAGACTGTAGTCTTTAATCTTCATCAGTGTCTCAAGTTGTCCTCACTTTCAGAAAGCAAGGTTATGTCGTCTGCATTTCGCAGTTTGTTAATGAGTTTTCCTCCAATCCTGATGCCACATTCTTCTTCATATAGTCCAGCTGCTCAGATTATTTGCTCAGCATACAAATTGAATAAGTATGGTGAAAGGATACAATCCTGGGGCACATCCTTTCTGATTTTAAACCACACAGTACCCCCTTGTTTTGTATGAACGACAGTCTCTTGGTCTATGTACATGTTCCTCTGGAGTACAATTAAGTGTTCCAGAATTTCCATTCTTTGCAAGTTATCTATAATTTATTACGATCCACACAGTCAAATGCTTTTGCATACTCAATAAAACACAGATATACTAG